TTAGATTCACATATATTGAAACTCATAGAAGTTGATTATAAATATAATTTATTTAGTTTTTATAAAAGAAAAAATAACAAAAAGAAAGTGAATTAGAAGTTATGAAGCAGAGATCACGATTCTGAGTATTAGACTCCTAATACTCAACATGATAAGTATGATGCTCATTAATGCTCACTCAATAGAAACCACGATTTTCATCTCAATAGCGGAGGTTTGATACTCAATTAAAATGTCGTGGTGTTCAACTAACAAATTTTACGATTTTCATATTAATGTGCACTTTGCAAGTTATGTATGCTCATTTAGTATTGATGTTATGCTCATTTTCAAATGTCATTTCAAAAGTATCATATTACATTAGACTCACATATTGGCTGTGTTTGGGAAACGGCTTATCAGCCAAGTTTCAGCTTCTTTGACTAAAATCAGCTTCTTTGACTACTCCAACAACCAATAATTTCGTTTGGCAATTAGATGTTCGTTTTGGCTGGTGAGGCTCAAGAAGCGGAAAGTGAAAACGTTGGGGTGGCCAGCGTTTTGGCACAGCTTCTCTCTTTAATCCATTTATGCCCTTCAATAATCTGGCCTCTAATTTTCCCTTCACGAATAAATCAACACCACCGTCACTATTTTCTCAAGGAAACGGCAAACTCATGTCATCGCACGAACAACTAGAAAATTTTCAAAATTGTACAACTATTTGGTATTACCGCCTACTGTATAGGGTTTCCTTCTTCAAGAGGAGCAAACAAAGAAAAACATGGAAATAATTAAGCTGCGATCAATAGATCAAAGAAGGGACGGCAATCACTGCACTTTTAAAGGTTTTCTAATAGAGCATAAAGTTGCTATCGAAAATTAAAAGATTCGGGAAAAAAAGAGCAAAAGTGCAGAATGAGAAGAAAAATCGTGAGAGGGGAGAAAAACAAAAGGGGGAGTGGAGAGGTGCTGGAACAGAGACGCAAGGGGTAATAAAACGAAAGGCAAAAAGTTAAAATCAAAACAAAGAAAAAGAGAAAATCCAATTATATTTATTTTAATTTGATTTTTTATGATTTAAGTTAACCGTTTAAACTTAAAACAATTGTTTGATACTTATTTTTTATTTTAGAAGTAATCTTATTTAGTTATTTATAACATGGTTATTATAAACAAGTAAACAAAATACTTCCTAATAAATATATACTAGTGTCCTTATATGTCTTTTTACACTCTAACAACTATTCATAAACAGCTAATTTTACCAAACGTTTATATACAACAAGTTAACATCACCAGTCAATCAAAACATCTCATACAAGTAGCTAATGATAAACAACTAACTCAACCAGCTAACATCCAATTGTAACAGCCATTTGCCAAACAAGGCCATTAAAATTAATAGGAGTGCATTATAGATATAATTTAATAAGTTTTTATAAAAGAAAAAACAGAAAAATAAAAAGAATTAGAAGCTAAGATATGAAGCAGAGATTGTGATACTCATTGTTAGCCTCCTAATACTCAATACAACAAGTCAGATGCTCACTAAAAGTACATTATTGCTCATTTTAGTGGAGGCCGTGACTTTTCACTTAAATAACAAGAATGCCACCGAAATTTTATTGGCCTATATTAGTTATTTGGTTGTCTTCCTTAGTTGGGTCCGGTGTACGTACACCCGGTTGTACCATATAGGCACTCATACCAATCACAACTTAAAATATATTTAAATTCATTGAAGAAATTGCATTTTTGTTGCATCGCATTCTAGATTTCTAGTACGATAGAAATAATATTCACTATTATTAAATCTATTAGCTGCTCTTAAAAACCGTCGCAACAAATAAGTTTTTTCCTAGTAGTGCAAGAATGTATGATTTTATTTACTCTGATTCAAATGAAATACCCCAAACATTTATTCAGTGTAAATCACTAGTGAAAAAACAATACAATGGGGTCCAATAGAGAGACCAGATTTTCGTGTGGACAAAAATGAAACCAAATTCAGTTGAATTGACTAAAATACCCTTTACACGATTAGCTCAAAACAACTTTGCATCGGTTCTTTCCCGTCCAAGACCATTGTCTCCATCTTCACTGGCTATCTCCTCACCGTACCGCCGCGTCGCACACCGTCATTACACATCCATCTTCGGCAGATGACCAGAACACGACGAGTGTGTTTTTGCTGCCCTGATTCTTCTTCTAGGCCGACTCGTGGCGCCATCGATCGTCCATTCCTGGCGGCTAGGGTTAGCCGGCGGTTTAATCCAGCGACAAATCGGATGGGGCGGCAGCGGCTGTTGCAACAGGGGATAGGGTTGAGGGTGAGGGGCGGATAAAGGGGTCTGATAGGGTGTCAGGGCAATCAGCAGTGACAATAAGGGTTCACTGGGGCCGGTGAAGGTGTTGGTCACTGTTCGGGTTATCACTAGAGCGGTAGGTCATCGGGAAATAATAGTTCACAAAATTGGTGACAATAATAACAACGAAAGTGCTCAATGGAGCGGTAGTAACTTAGACTATTGTCACTGGAATGGTAATAACCGGGACGATGCTCATTGGAGCAATAGTCAATAGTCACTGGGACGATGGTCACCGAGCGGTAGGTCCCTCCCAGTTACTTACTAACTGGGAGGGACACTAATAACTGGAGCGGTAGTAACTAAAGTCTAAAACAATAATCACTAGAACATTAGTAACTAAGACGATTGTCACTGAAGCCATGCTGATTTGAATAATTTCCACAAATTTTGAATATATGAGAAATACGTAGTAATATTAAAATAAAATAAAATAAAATAAAGCGTTAAATGGTTTGAGAGTGCATTGTGAGTCTGTGACATAGCGTAACTTTAAATGTTTAACTCTTAGCAGGGTAATTTTGGAAAAATAGTTGCCTATCAGTCACATTTTAGAAAATTAAGAAAAAAAATCTCTGTTTTGTCCATTATACTTTTTGTTGTAATATTCATGTCAAATCCCCAAAAATATTTTTTGGAATAAAAAAACGCTCTCCTTGAATAAAAACATGTATATTCACTAATGGATCAAACATGCACTGCAAGAATGGTACACTAATACATTGCGCTCAAACTTTTTAGCTTCACTCACGCCTTAATCATAACATTTTGGACTCATCGTACTTTAGAGAGTGTTTGCGATTACTTCAACTTTTAAAAAGTTATTTTTTTAAGGTGATTTTAGAGAAAATACTTAAAAGGAAAAATTTAGAATGTTTTAGAATAGAAGTGATTAAACTCATTAAAGTGAAAAAGTGAAAAGTATGAGTGTTTGATAAAAAAAATACTTTTGGATGTAATATTTTGTTAATGTACCAAAAGGTCCAAAATACCCTTGTATAAATTAATTGATCAATCAGAAATGAGCGTGAAAGCTAAGAGAGGAAATTGCCGGCGTGCTAGAAGCCAACCCTGCAACCTCTTCTTTCTCTCCCAGCGGCCTTCTATTTTTTTCAAATGAAAGAGGAGTTTTGACGAACCAGCAAACCAACGGCCAACCCCTGCGGCAAACCAACCAGCAAACATGTATATATACATAGACAGAAGAACAGTTCATTTGAGTTGTTTACAAAAAATACCTAGAAACACTTAAAAGCACCTACTCCCTCCCTCCGGTTCTTAATTAAGTTCCTGGTTTGACTTTACACATATTAAGAAATAAATTTGACTTTACTGTAGAGTGCACTGTTTGAACACTGTTTGACACTGTTTGAACACTGTTTGACATTATTTGAAGTAGATATATTAATATGGACCATTCCAAAAAGGAAAGTAGAAACTTAATTACGGGATTAGTGCTGGACTCGGGCCGGTTCGGGCCCGGTTCGGGCCTGGGCCCGGCCGGGCCTCGGGCCAGGAAAGGGAGGCCCGAGCCCGAACCGCCGGTGGCCGGTTCCGGGCCAAACCGGGCCGGGCCGGGCCGAACCGGCCCAATTAATTTTTTTTTTGTTCTCCTATTTAATCCCCTACCCCTCCCCCTCAACCCCAAACCATCCCAAACCACCTCAAATGGCCCAAAATACCTAATCCAACCTAAAACTTAAAAAAATTTCAAAACAAAAAAAAAAAATTAAAATCCGGCCCGGACCGGGCCCGAACCGGCCGGGCCGGTTCACCAAAACCTGGGCCCGGGCCCGAACCGCCCAGCAGCCGGGCCGGGCCGAACCGAACCGGTGGACCCACCGGGCCCCGGGCCGGGCCGGGCCAAACAGTAACCGGGCCGGGCCGGTTCCGGGCCGGGCCGCCCGGCCCGAGTCCAGCACTATACGGGATGGAGGGAGTAATCGAAGTATATCCCATTTTAATATGAACTCAGTTCGGGCCGCCCCACCCGAAACCGGCCCGGCCCGCTACTGTGCGGAACCGGCCCAGGAAACCGGTTCCGGTTCCGGGCTTAGGTCAAGCCTGAGGGGGTAACCGGTTTCGGGTCATGAAAAAGGCGAACCAGTCTGGCCAGTCCAAGCCCAGTTCAAGCCTTTTTTTTTTGTTTTTTTTTGAGTTTGGGCTGGGCTAGGTGTTTCTGAGGGGTTTGGGGGGTGAGGGGTGGGGTTTGAAATAAATAAGAAAACACAAAAAATATGAACAGGAACTGGCCCGGACCGGAACCAGTAGACTACCGCAACGATTACGGGCCTTACCCAAAACCATCCAAGCCCAGCTGGGCCCAAGCCTGATCCGGAACGAGAACCGGACCGGGCCCAATCCACCCCACCAGCTTCCAGTTTTTAGCTTTAAAGTACTTAATTTAAGTAGAAGCATGTGTTTAAAAACACTCATTTTAACTTTTTTAAACCAAAAGCTTAAAAATATGTTTTTTAATCTCTTGCAAACACTCCTTTACTCATCATGACCCCGTTTGAAGTGGAACTTATTCCAATACCTAATTACATACTAAAGTATTTTTGCATCACTTGCGGTATACTGTAGATCTTTTGAAGAAAACTAATTTAAGTGAATATACCTGTGTCTAGAAATAGAGACATCTTCATTTGTAACAATGATCACACAATTCAGTGTGTTAAATTTTTATACCTCAATCTTTCTTTCAAATGGTATAATATTTTTTCAATTTCATATCTCTCCCAATTCAGAGTTTGAATTGAACTATGAGCATTGATAAAACGGGGAGCATAAAAAACGCCAAACCAGAACTATGCACAGGCATTATAATTCCTATGGCCCATATATAATGCTCCTATACTCTGCTGAGTGGAGAGCGGCTGAGCCCCCCCACCCCCCACCCCCACACAGAGGGAAAATAGAAAACAACAAAACATGAAATTTGAGCAACTCCAAAGCAGCAAAGATGGTAATGAAGAAAAAAGAGGTGGTAGAAAAAAGCACTGTACAAAATGTGCTGATGATTAGAAGTATTGTATTCAATACTCTCTATAGTTCTTCTAACGCAAAGTTGTACCAAGCTTTGCAAAATACTGCTTGTCTGCCTTTGCAAGGCGATCTTGGAACATTGCCCACTCGCTTTTACACCGCTCCCTTACCTGTGAAAGGAATCTGCTTCAATATATGTACACCTCATATTTGTTTGTTTATAATGATACACACAGACACATAAGTTCATTTTTTGAAGCAAGAAACAACACTTTTTGCAATATTAAACAGGGATGTAATAAACATACCACTTGCCCAGGAGATTTACCATCCTTGGACTGCCCCTGCAAATTGCATGTATAAGAGTTAGCTAAAAGTCACTCTACTGACAAAGTGACAATATATTACTCCTTAATCATAGAATACGAATCACACAAGAAAGCACTTAGGCCGTGTTTGGATCCCGCAAAATTCTAGGGAAAGGAAAGAAAAAACGCTACATCAGTTATTTTCTTGTGTTTACATTGACCTTGTAAAACATAAAAAAAGAAATAAATTTTAAGATGGTTTGCTTAGTGTTTATATAAAAGAAACTAATAAAATCAATTTGAACCAAACAAATATTAAAAAATAAACTTATTGAGTTTGAAACATCATTTATTTTTTTAACATTTTATTTCATTCCACGTTTTCCATAAAATTTTCCTCATTTTCTTTCTATAGCACTTTGAGCATTCCAAACAGATCTTTGAGATCTTAACCTGATTCCCAAGAGAGGGAATAACTTGATGCACGATCCATTGTGAGTCAACTACGCCAATCTTTTCATGAGCAGGCTGCAGAAATCCCAATATATTACAACACAATGATTCACAAGTCACAAATTTTGTACATAGAGACAGAGTGCTCTCAATATATACACTATGTATGTAGCTTTGGAGAAATACCAACCTCTACACATCTTCTGAGAGCAAAATCCAACCCCCATCCATGCACCAGGTCATTCTAGATAGTATATCGTTTACATTAAATATTTAGAAGTGAAAACACTTGTTGAGTAACAACATGCAAATAAAACTAAAAAAACCTGAATCATATGCCAAACACATCTCCATGCTTCTCGTGAGAAAACAGGAGCCATGATTTCCACAAATCTGAATAGAAAAAGAAAAAAAAACAAATCAGAATAACGAATTAAGTTCACAATTAATAAAACAATAGACCTTTTATTGTTAACACTCCAGTTTTTCACTTAAGAGCTTGGTGATCCAAGTTCTTCACGAGTGTTTTTACATAAAAATCTTAAATACTCCATCGAAGCATATGGACATTTATCACCAGTCACCATCATTATCGGCACTGTAAGTCTGTAATCCAACTAGTGGTGGTCAGTGTCATGATATTTAGAGTGCTAGTTAATTAAGAAATAGTTAACGCTATGACTCATGGAAAACAACATGGTGAAATGTCTTTTCAAAAACCTTACAAGGCATGGTCATTGTTATGTCCATTACATAATTGACATACAAGTCATGGAAAATGCAATCCATGTTTATCAGAATTCTAAAAGTATATCTGGCTGCTCCGCAAGAAGTTGTGACAAAAAAGGTGGGAGAGAGGGAGAGACGTACGCTGCACATGGAGGCAGGTGTGGATCACTGCACCACCCTGGTTTCTCATCTGTCACCCTGTTAATCCATAAAAACTCGATAAACTTCCAAAATGGACAGGTCATTTGAGCACAATCAAATTAAGCAAATAAGAAATAACAATAGAGAACTCAACATATAAAAACATACTTGTGGACTTCACTGTCTCCTCTCCTTTTTGTCATTTGCCACGTCAATCCATGGTTTGGCTCCAGGCCAGGCTGAGATATCTCTAAACCATGCTCCCTCACTAACTGAATATATCTGGCAATACAAGCACCAAATGAACCCTATAAGAAATTCAAGCTGACTAATGAGGAGAAAAACTGAAAGGGGCCCTAAAGTCAAACGACTTACTTCACAGGATTGAAGTGCTCCACTCCAAGATCTTCATCCCAAACAAATATATAATCATAAGCTGCTACAACATCAGGATGCAAAAAACGCTTCGCATACCACCTATGATGGAGGAGGGGGAAAAAGAAAAATTAAGAAGATAATAATGTAAAGACTAGCTTTTCCAAAATTAAATAACAACCTAGTAATGTTAAATGGTTAGCTTAATCATATACTACATCCCTGGATAAAAAAGATACTTGTGTGGTTCAACACTTGATCAAGATATTTAAAATTTAATTTTTTTATAAGAATTTTATCCAGTGAATATATCTATATATATTTTGAGAAGTACATAAAATGACCAAAAGGTTGTTAGACAGATACTTAGTTTACACAATTAAAAATTAATACCATGCATAATCAGACAGAGAAGTATCATATGATAATGTTACTAAATGAATGCCTACCTATTTAATTTTACCTTTAACATATACTTCCTCCGCCCACTAAGATTGTGCCATCTTTCCTTTTTTGTCCGTCCCGCTACGATTTTCCCATACCAAGTTTGGTAAAATTTATGTGGTTCTAAATCAATTTTACTTTATTCTTACTTTATTGATTCAATATGAACCACATCAACCCACTTTTCTTATTAACCGCACCACCTCCTCATGTCCCAATGTTAGTGGGACAGAAGTAGTATTCCTTCAAGATCTGTTCTATAATATTCCCTTATTATAGGACTAGGTCAAAACACAGAAGTACGAAAGTTTAGAAGTCAAAGCTAAGACAACATCTGATCCATACCACTTTGTTTGCTTGCTAACACTGACATGTATTGCACGTCTTGACCAATCAAACTGATCCCATTCACTGGTATGACCATCATAGTGAAAAAGCATAATCTGGAAATCCTCAGAGAACTAAAAACATCATTGCATAAAATAAAAATTAGATACATAAAATCCAAGAGTGGACAAACATTAAGGTCTTGATATAATTCCTTAAGTGATATAACCTTTTTAACTGACGCATCAATATTGTTCTTTTGTTCCAAACCAACTGTGAAGGTCACCAGGTACTTTGGCTTCCTTTTTAAATCCTGAAAATTTGGAAACATTGGAAGATAGAAGCACCCCAAGTACATATCCTTATAATGGACTGAGAAACTACTATAAGTGGTAACTAAAATTTATATTATACATTTATACTTCCTTTAAATATTTAACCATATGTTACAAGTCAACAGAACATCAGAACTACAAGTTCATATGCATAGCATTATTGTTTAATTGTACTCTACCCGAAGGGTCAGTTTGGATGGAGGGGTTTTGAAGGGCTAAGTCCATATATTGATTTTTTAGGTCTTATAGAATATGAAAGCAATACCATAATATGTGATAATATAGCATTTGAATTACCCTTTATTGGTTTTCAGAAATTTTCTATTTCTAAAGACTTAAACTAAGCCTAAGCCACCCTCCATCCAAACTAATTTGCAGATAAAAGAATTAACAATGACTATATACATTACAAAACACACCTCACTTGGTTCACCCCATAATCGACGCAAATAAAAATCTGATTCTGCAACTACAATTCCTGGTGGGAGTGACTCTGCACCATGAGGATTGGTTGGTACATATATCTGGATATCAAGCCCAAAATGGATCATGAATTGAATATATCTAAAATAAATAAATAAATGAATAAATAAGTCTTTGAAGTAAAACAAAATGTCCCCAAATATAAAAAATCAATAAAATATAAGCCAGCCAAGTGTACATAAGTTCTTAGGAATGATTAAATTTGCATAATAAGTCAACAGATAATCCTATTTCAAAGATATATCATGACACAACAGTGCAACGTAACAAAGTACTCTTAAATTCCGTTATAAAGGAGATGAAACATCATAAAAAGACATTCTAAAGTGAAATATAAGAGACGAACTAAATTAAACAGTGAGGGTGACAGGAAATATTAATTAATCTTTCAAATATTCAATTATTAAAGTCAGGATGAGTTTACTAGTGTAGTTTTAATATACAATCTGATGAACATACATGGCATAAAGAAAGGAAGGAAGGAAGGAAGGAAGGACAATTATTAAAAAACGCTTATTAATGAAACAAGTACCTTGGGTGTTACCAGAGAACCACCAGAAATATGGTTCTCAGGGAAACTAAGATTAGTATGTAGTGGCTGGTCATCGCCAGAGGCTACATCAGTTGATGATATAAAGCTTGAGGGTAAGTTAATCTGCACAAGATTATGCTCAAGCATCAATCAAAGGACAAATATGACTATACAGTTGATACTTTGGACCGAGCAAATTTATCCACAAACTTACCTTAGTTAATGCAACAATCGGAAAGGAAATGCCTATAAAATATCCAAACACCATTCCCATGATTGTCGTTATGATAAGCCTGGCACTATCATTTGTCTTTTTAAAAGTCCCACTGCAATCACGGAAGGACATGTTTAAAATGTAAGCATAATATTAACTAATTAGGAAAAAACAAAATTCTAAATATAAATACAAAACCTACACAGGTGATAACTGAAGTTTGGGAAAGTACTTTTCAAGTGCACATAGATGAATTCCAAATGTATATCAAGCAAACAAAGAATATAGATCTCTAACTCACCTGTGGCGAATGATTCCCATGGTGATAAAAGTTGCTCAAGTCAATGCGTCTTTGGAGGGGAGTACCATAAGTCCAGTGATTAGTGCACAAAATTCGCTGACTATTTGATCCTATACATTCACCAAAAGTTTACTATCTCAATTTCAGTGACTTGCTTCAAAAAATTTCATGCTAATTTTTCTTCTCAATTATTATATCGTTACATAGCAAAATCCATTGCAGTGTACGAAGAAGATTTGAAAGCTCGTCAGTCATTTTTCCAGCCACACCATGATATTTTCATTCAGCATCATTTGAAACCCAAAGAATGTAAGGGAAAAAATTGGGAAGAAAACCGAAGGAAAGGAAATTTGGTAAAAAAAAATGACTCAATCGTAATAAGTAAATCTTATATATTTGTTCAAAGTCAATTTATTTATATATTTCTATCATATAACTAAAAAGAAATATAAATGTGTATGATTTAGAAAGTCTTAAAATTTTGTTTTTCCCTCAGATTCTCCAAAGTAAAGCGCTAAAGTGAAACATAGAAAACTATTTTCATTAACATGTTTTCCCTTTCCGAATCATATCTCGTGTTCCAAACATGGATTAGGGATTCATGATTTCAATCAAGCAGGATAACACATCCACTTTCATGGTTCCACTGACCTAAATCATAATCGACCAAAAATGACTCACTATGAACTGGACCATTTTTATCAAACTAATTCTACAAACAGCTTCATTCTTGAAAACCACTGTATGTACAAAAAAGGAGTTGGAAGGAAAAAACAGTTAGTTGGTTTTTGGTCCCCCCAAGTCCAGGCATAAGTAAAACAGAAATAATTGCATTTAACTTGGAGTTGAGATTTCAATCACCTCCAAATAAACCACCACTTGTAAAACATAAATAAACAATACGGAGTAAGAGATTGAACCGTTACTCCAAAGTTTTTTCACATATAAGATGCATAATCTCAAAGTAAAGTAAAATAGAATTCTACTTCAAGGATTCAGCGTGGCATGGAAGTTCATACCTGAAGGATGAGAAATTTGAAATGAAGTATGAAACAACGAAATTACAGAGTATGAACATCCACCTTGAAATATGATGATGAAGATTTGTAGAGTTGATGAAGTGATAGGGTTTGTGAGCCTTAAAGGTTTCAGAGGATTTGGGTTCGCCCTGCTAAAGATTATTGTTTGAGTTTCTTCTGCAGATGGAATTCAAAAGTGAAATGTTATTTTAGTAGACCAACGTAGCAGCATGATGATATGTATAGTAAGACATTGACAAACGAAAAGTTCTTTCGTTATTAATCGCAAATTCTCGGCGAATATTTGTCCAATAGTCAAGTAAAAAATAGTGTCCCTCCTATGTAAAAAAATGTAAAAATAAAAAGGTGTATAAGAATATAATACGGAGTATGATAAGATTCCGAAATTGGACTAATATATATAAGAAAAATTTACAAAATATGAATAATTTACCATTATCTTGAAGTTTTGCATTCAAATTTTAATATGATGGTATTAATGTCAAAATTAGTACCATTATTTACTATTTTACAGAATAATTTACTATTTTAAATTGGACTAATCGCTCATATTTAAGAAATAAAATGCATAGCTCATTTTCTGAAATTTCGCATTATTTTAACTTATAATTTAGGGAAATCTTTACAGCATAACAAATTTATGAATGAAGAGATGAAAAATAGAAAAACAAGAAAAGTAAAAGAAATTTGAAGAGTAGGGAAAATATGAAAGACAATATGTACCCAAAACAAAAGTCTTCAAAACTAAACTACAATAAATATCATAACCTTCTTTAAAATAAATACCGAGCAACTAAAATATAGAGTATGTATAACAAAATTCATGGCTTCATAACATTGTGTACAAAATATATATTTAGAAGATACAAGCAAATATGGTGAGACAACATAACATATACTCCCTCCGTCTCCTAATTTTGTCTTGTTTTACTTTTTTCGTCTGTCTCATTATATTTGTCTCATACCATATTTGATAATATTTGGGTGGCTACAATTCATTCTTACTTTATTCACACTTTATCAATTTAATACTAACCACACATTTCTATTTTTTCTTAAAAATTCTACCACACCTTTTTGTCCAAAACATAGGGGGACGAAGGTAGCAAGAGAGATGGTTTAGATTTATGGATAAGATTACTGCAAAAAAATGTTTTATGGATCTTGAAATTGGATACAAAATAAAGTAGCTAAAATATTTTTTAACATGCTATTTTAATATTCTTTCAAACTCTAACAATCTCTAACTTGATTCCTCAAATTCTATCTGTCGTATATTTTTAAAATATACGGAGTATCATTTGGAGAAATATTAATTGCTGAAAATTGTTTTTATTGAGATTTAATTTAAATTGCATATCTCACAACCGTTTTACTTAACTTAAGTGTCACGTCAATCACTTTGTGGTTCGATGACATCACTGTGACACTCCAAAGAGAAAGTTATAGTTTTGAAACTCATATTTTTTAACAAACAAGGGAAATTTTATTGAAAATTGAAAGAAGAGTTACAATGCGAAAACAAGAAAGAAAGCAGTAAAAAAAGTACAAAAGGTAAAGGGGAAAATGATGGAAAGCAAAAATAAAGATAGCTAGACCCAAGGGAACTGTTTAGATTGTGATCTAGTTCGCATGCTATGTCTTCGTTTGTTCTGCTGGGATTTGCGGTAGATTTTGAGTTGTGTATTTAAGTTATCAGTCGGAAGGCAAGTGTCTTGAGTGACAAATTGAGATTTATAGCAAATATGAGTCATTCCGGTTGGAATTGGAGTCCCGGATGTCGTTCCGGTTGGAAATTGACAGTCGACGATCACTTTCTGTTGCGTGCCCTAAAAAGTCGTCTGAAAAATATGAGTCATCAGATGGATCGAAACTGTCTGAGGCGTCTGAGTAAGCTTGACTCAGAGGTAGCTTATAATGTTTCTCAGAAGCTTGAGATTGTTTTTTCTCTGCGTAGGCTTCCTGAATTTGAGAATTGAAAATAAGTTTGGAAATTGATGTGAGTTCCTCTGTGGCTGCCTTGGACTCATGCTCCAGATACATTGATTCCTCCTGCATTGAATCAGAATATCCCACAAAGTTTGAAAAAATGGCAAGAAATTTGAGCAGTTTGGATTTTTGTGGGCCCGTTGGAATCAAGATGAAACTTCCCTTTTCTTTAGCAATTCTGATGAAGCTGCCTGATTTGTTGAATTATGAAGAAATTGTGATTAGACCAAATCTCCGTTGCTGCCGAAAATCTTGGTTAAATCCTGAGAGCTGAGAAATAAATTGGATGATTTGTGGAGCCAAATTCAAATTGAAACTAATCTTGTTCAACATAGATTTGTTGATCTCAAAAATAGCAATTTCATTATTTTTTATTCCAAATTTAAAAAGCTTGGATTGAATTCCAATTGTGTCAAACCCTTCTTCCCCAAAGAATTGAAAGTTTTCTGAGTTGGCGAGGACCGCTGGATCAGTATGGATTATTTGTCTTGGTGGGATATTTCGTTTAACTGATCAAGCTTCTTTTGAGTTTGAGTAGGGTCATGTGATTGAGAGGGGTGGTACATCCATCATATGGGTTCTTTTGAGTTTGAATAGGGCCATGTTATTTTTTTGAATAAAAAAATAACATGGCTCTACTCAAACTCAAAAGAAGCCTGTTCAGTAGGGTCATGCTATTTGAAACTCATCTCAGGAACTCATCTCAGGAAGTTGTCATTTAACATTAAACTTCGCATCAAAATTGTATATAACAAAAACAAGCCAAAAACTATCATATGATCAAATGAGCACTCTTTAATTATGAAATGAGTAACACAATAATTATAAAAATATCTCGATGTAAAATTTTATTTTACTTCTGAACGCCAATGAATAACTTGGTATGATACTTTGTGCAAATTAATTTTATTTACTACGTATATGTTATTAGTTGTACGTAACTACGTAAGTTTTAACATTGGTTCAAAAAAGACACACTAATTTAACTTTTGAAAAAGTGATAAACAAAAGTATGATTTGATAATTTTTAGTGATTACAATTGTATTCATGAATATGATATAGTGACTATGGTATAAACTTTCAATATATTTACAGGCACTAAAAATTACTATGTACTATGTAAAATTTTTGTTCTTGACTTTTTTTATTAGTAATTACTCCGTATATTTTAGCAAAAAATACTTATTTTAATGTGTTGTTTATTGGTTATGTATTACTCATCATATTTAAAGAGCTAAATGCATAACCAACATTATGGAAATAAATAAAGTTTTTACTTGGACTGTAATTTGCTGGTCTGGTATGTTTAAATCTGGTCTGATCTGGTCTGGTCTAGTAAACGTGCGGTCTATGTGTATTTTATAACTACAGAAGTCATCAAGTCAAGTTTGGTTTGTTCGAGTCTGGTCTAGTCTGATTTGCTCTGTTTAAGTCTGGTTTGGTCTGGTCTGGCAGAATTGAAAACAGTTTAAGTAAAAACATCCTAAATTGAGTGTTTGTATGTATTAAGGAATTTTTATGGTTTAATACTTTAATCCACTCGTTAGTCGTTACTCATTTTTAGATCCATCTCTGACCATTCTTATTCTACACTTTAAATTTCTTAGAATTGTACTTTAAATTTTTTTATTATTAAGCGATAGGAACAGACTTAGAGTCTATTATAGATCTGATCGTAAGTCCTAGGAATAGACTTAGAGTCAGCCACCTATACAAAGCAACTTGACTCGCTAGACACAAAATGGACAAATGTAACCCTAAAACGATCGAAAATGAAGTATTGTCTATCAAAAGTTCTTCAAAAATCAAAATACTCCAACCACACATGCTCGAACTGGAAATAAAAATAAGTACTACGAAAGGAAAAATAATACGAAAATAAAAACTTTCCCCAAATTGCTTCATTGCACGGAGGTGGTTCCGGAGGAGGGCGAGTTGTTGTTATATGGCAGAAGAGAATTTGAACCCCCGGGAAATTCGTTTGAAACCATATTCTTGTTGTGCTCGCCAATTCGCTGTCGTCAATTTGCTCTTTGAGATTTGCCATTGACATCCATGTCCGAGGTATAGAAGAAATATCTATCATGTTGTTTTGTGATTCTTCGCCCACAAAAATCCAAGCCGCACCCCACCGCCCTTACATTCTACTCACATTCCGAAACTCCAAAGAGGAAAGCTGCACGAAACTCTCGTTCCACGAAAAACCCAACCGCATGAACGAAGCTCGATCGGCGGAACAAAAAACCCTAACAAGTGTAGGGAAGACGATCGCTCTTCGAAAGAATCAAAGCAGAGAAGAAAATCCTAGAGGCAGAAATCCACTCTAGAGAGATGAGGTCTCAGAAGCTCTTGCTACGCCGTGCCAATTAAACTAGAATCTTCCAACAGATCGAGAAGAAACAGATCATCCGCAAGCTGCCGTCATTGATCTTCGTGGAGATAACTAGCTCTTGCTACCATGGGCATTGTACTTTAATTTTTCTGTTCTCCGCCAAACACTAATCTTTCACATTTGCTTGACAGTTAATTAGAAAATCAAATAATTCTCCTTTTCAAGTTTTCATCTTGACCATATTTCACATTTTCACTTGCTGGCCGTTTTATATATTTGCTTTTTAAATATTTCACTTATCGTTATACATATTAGAAATTGCCTTGAATAGGAGCAAAAACATTTTCTTTTTATCATAGGACTATAGGAGCAAAAACATTTTGAAATTTTAAAATAGGATATTCATGTTTTTAACTTTTTAATCACTAAATAGGAGTAATTTTTGCTAAGTTTGAAAAAAACTTGGCAGAAACTGTCATGTTTAAAACCTGATAATATCAAACTTGACAGAAATTACTTCTCATTTTCATTTTGACCATATTTCTCTTTGATACACATTATGTAGAAATAAAAATTTACAAGTATGGCAATTTCGATAGATTCCTCTTTAGACTTGAGAGGCGAGCTAGATTTGATGCAAGTTTATGAGTATAGTGACTAGTGTATACTGTATACACCAAATTTGTAAGCTTTATGATACAGTTTGTACGTACTATATTGCATGTAAATACAATTCCTCTTAATGTTTGTCAATACATTTTGTACACAAAAAGTTCAGTTAAATTACAGCTCGTGGAGCTAGGAATATAATTCCCATGAGAAGGCAATCTTTCTTTATTCAAAACAAAAAATTCATTCAAGAAAAATTACAGTTGCAAATTGCAATGTTTTAATTGTCTGCAAAAATTAGAAGATTTCAAGGGAAATCTATCTAGAGAGGTCAAGGCGGAAATAGATATTTTGGACAAAGTTCTGAATATAAAATGTTTTTTAAGGAAATGTGGATTAAATTCATATCACATCATTCAGATAAGGGCTAAAAAGACAAAGAGACCGCAGGCAACTGCATAACCTCGAACCAGACTCGGAGTTAACTACCTCAAAAGAAGCCGTATAACTCGTTGATCCATTTATGGGCACAACTGAGCCAAAGACGGAAAGCATAGACCTCCTGTCACCCAAATCCAAACTCAAAGTCTTACAATACGAAACAATAAAGAACTGAAAATAAACATAGTACTCAACACCATAAAAAACCAACACAGTGAAAAAATAAAATTCTTGAACCCTAGCACCTTGTTCAAACCCTGGCGGAGGTTCAGGAGGAGACCGGACCATCGCTATGATCGTTGACACGGACAAGACATGGCTCCAAACCCTAGCGCAGAAGGCTCTGCTCACATCCATCGCAAAGTTGGTTTCCTACCGAGCAACCTTCATCTGTCCCGTGCTAAATCTCCTGCCGCTCGCCCCTTCGCTGTCTCGCATGGAACAAACTCGCACAGCCGAAACGTAGAACCCGATGGTATAAGGCAATCCCTGCGCAATCCACTTAGCAAGTCCTTTGTCCTTCGTATGAACCCTCGGCAATCGTCACTTCAAATTAACCGCTCCTCGATCGAAACCGATAGCAGAGGAATAGGCTCTAGCGGTGATGGAACGCCCTAGAGAGAGAAGAAAAAAAAAAGCAGATCTCACAAAATCGGCAGAAGCATATGCTTCGCCGTCGCAACAGACTCTAAAAACAAAACAAAGCACATCGCATCAACTGACATGGCGGGCCGCAGGCTCTATGCCAGGAAGCAGGTCGCAACACTCCGGTAGGTTGTGGCCGACGGCTCTAAGCTTGCCTAGGGTTTGCTTTTGCTCCGTGTAAAATTACGAATATACAATGTTAACAATCACATTATAATTATTACATTATAATTATTGATTTTTATCAAATTTTAGGTGTGTGACGGGGTGGCAAAATGTAATATGTAAAAATATTTTGATTACTAATAATATTGGTACTATGTTTTTATTCAAATCATTTCACTTTATTTTACTCAAATCTCAACCACAACTTTTGGTTTTCAACTACTTTATTAATAATAATTATGCCAAATTGAAAATGGACAACCAATATGGGACGGAGGTAGTATGCAATATTACCATTGTCCCATTAGGATTAAAACACAGTAAATGACACGAATATTAAGAAAATTGAAATTATATTGTTGAAGATCAAAGTATGAATATATTACACCAATACAAATTTTATCCAATACTCCGCATGATCCCATGATGTAAGGTAAAATGAGTTTAATGCACCAAACCCCCTTATGAAATATAAATTCAGCGTATTAACCCTTTTTTGATTTAAAAATGTGTCAAACCCCACTGTGTTTTAATTATTCATGCTCAAAACCTCTCCAAGAACACATTTTACAATTTTGAAATCGTTTTTCTTAGATGCCGTCTGGCAACACTATTTTTCTGACTTATCACGCTTATCAACCAACTTTTTAACCAAACACGTACTTTTTGCTTTCACACGCTGAATTATGTAATAAGCAGAAAAAGTAAGGTTGTAGTTACTTTTCTGGCTATATTGGCTGAAGTTACTGTAGATGACCATTTTAGCTATTTTTACATATAATTTTTTCTTTATTTTATTAATAAAATATATTTTAAAAATATTTTTTCCCAAAATCAGTAGAATCAGCCAATGCAGTCACTTCAGCCAAAACTTCATAAATTTCAGTAGAATCAGCCAATTTTCATGCTACTAAACAGACTCTTAATAATATGATTGGATATGCAAGTAATTTTGTCAAAATTTCTAAAGGCTAAAGGGTCAAATAGATATATGAACTAACTTGAGTGAACTAACTTAAAGGTTCAATTAGCCCCTTATATAGAAGGTTATGCCCGGCCGTCGCCAATTGGAGCGGTTCCCGGTGGAATTTTTTGATGAAATTTTTTGAGCATCTTCTTCATTAAGTCTAGTTACCCATGTCAAATTTCAGCTAAAAATTAAACCGGGAAGACAGTCAAATGATTTTCCGAAATGTACTGCGTTGTTTAACTGCGCAATTATCTTCAAAAAATCATTTGATTGCCTTCCCGGTTGAATTTTTAGCTGAAATTTGATATGGGTAAACTAGACTTAATGAAGAAGATGCTAAAAAAATTTCATCAAAAAATTCCACCGGGAACCGCCCCAATTGGCGACGGCCGGACAAAACCTCCTATATAAGAGGCTAATTGAACACTTTAAGTTAGTTCATGTACCTATTTGACCCTTTAGCCATTTCTAAATTATACAAAAAACTAATCACTTTTCATTTATTTGGCAATTAAATTTGTTCATAGAAGGAGTTTTGCGCATAAATAACTACAAAACATGGGGTTTGACGCATTTTTTAAAACACAGGAGGCTAATGCGCTGAATTTATATTTCACAATAGAATTTGATGCATTAAACCCAAGAAAAAAAAATGGAAAAGAGTGGAAAGGGACATATAGATAGAGATAGAATGATACTCCCTCCGTCCCGAAAAGGTTTGCCAAATTTCCTTTTTTGGATTTCCCAAAAAGATTTGTCATTTCAATTTGAAGTAAGGAATATGTGGCTAAAGTTAATTCTCTCTCCTCTACACAAATTTCAACCACACCATTTTTACTTTATTAATCCACGTGAAAGTCAAAATTGGCAAACCTTTTCGGGACGGAAGAGTATAAACAAAAGATTTCCAAAAAAATAATACTACAAGTTAAGCAATAGACAAACATTAGACCGATTTTAAAATTTTCAAAAAAAAAAAAAAATAGGTGACTTCTATACCTGTTAACCATAGTGACTATTACACAATGATCATGACCCAACGCCCAGGTGACCAACCGTCTACCAGTGGCCATCGTCACCAGATACCGTCACCAGATAGTGTCCACCACCATACAATGATTGCAGACAGTGAATTTGCAGGCTAGTGACCTCCGACATCCCAATGACTCCGCTGCTCTGAGTGGCCTGATACCGTGCCGCGTTTGACCCGATGTCCCGCCCATGATCACCCAACCACTCCCCCAACATGGTCCACAGCTCACCCCCTCCCTAGCCCGGCCCAACCCCCCTCCCCAAACTTCCCAGCCCCTTCACTGCCACTGCCTACCTCTGCAACCTCCTTAAGTGCACCTCACCCCACAAACCTAGCTGTCTGGCTAGAATTTATAACTTCCACAGTTCCACACTAATGTATTAACTAATAGCATTGTCCGAAGTTTACTATCATAAGCCAAGAAAATCGAAGATGACAAACTTGTAATGGACAGAAGGAATTACAATTCAATATCAATTACATAATTTCATTTACTTGGATAAGAAGTAGTATACAGAGTATGAAATAGGGAAAAAAACACACAAAACTGAAAACAACTCTTTTTCATTTTTCTTTTCAGAACTTCATTTTTACCTTCCAAGAATCAGAAAATGTGAACATGGACTAACTGAACTAATGCAAATTCATTCAATTAAACTGCCTTTTAAGCCAACAAGAGCACCATATCCCAAATAAATATGAAAAATAGTGATCACTGTTGCCAGGTATGTAACTCATGAAAGTAGTTAACACTGCTGCTATGGAAATAGAAGTTGCATGAAAATACTTGAGGAAAGAAAAGGGGCACTTCAATCCGCATACCATATAGTCCCTATTACTTGGACTGGCTAATCGGAAACGCCACTTTGCGGCAAACAAGCAGTTCTCATGTTATTCCCTAGTTTTGAACAAGCATCTATGCATAGCTCCATTGCCTGCAGCAGACAGAACTATTACATTCAAAGATGTACATAACTGTATATCCCGAGGTCGGGGAACCAAGTAAAACAACACACATTACTTATGGGTAAAAAATAATATCCCACCGTCCAACAAAATTTAAAAACACAGCGATTGAGAAAATCAAAATTTAGTGCCTTACTTAGAAAAGTGAAAAATAATATGAACCATGGACTTCCTATCAGGCTATCCATAAAAGAAAAATGGGATTTTTTTTTGTGATGGACGTAAGCAGAATATCAGCAATTTTTTTAGGGAGGTAATGAACTGCCTTTAGAGGAATATAATCAAACTACATGCCATACTTCATTAATCTTTGGCGTGGACCACTCCCCAGTGAGGGTCAACTGAGTGAGCTCCTTGCGTGATGCCATACATGCCATCATTAGGCTTCCATCTTGTATGCTCTCCTCTTCTGAAGTTGGATCTATGAGAAGGTTTTTCCCGATACAAGACTATATGTGAAAATGATAATAATACCATCATCATCTGATAAAAAAAGAAAACTTTAATAATTCTGAAATAAAGGAAAAATAAGTGTTTCTCCATATGTGCATACCACAGAAACTGCGGCAACCAAATCATACAGCAAAATCCCCGCATCAGCTAATGCTAGGCTAGCACATGTTATAATAACGGGAAGATCGCCTGCAACCAACCAAAACACATAATGACTATGTATGAATTCAAAAATGTCAGTGGTAGTACGCTTGTACGTCAGACTACTGACTGAGATGTAAACATAATGAATGCATAGTGTGTTTAGCCTTTCAAGTAAAGTATCTATCTTATTGAGATTACAGTCTGATAATCAACTTGGATCCAAGTAACTCTAAACATTAAACAAGCAATTATATTGTGAAATAATACAGCTCCATTATAAAGCTGCAAGTGAGTAAAACAAACTTGTTCATTCTAAATAAAAATAAATCAGTTAATAGTTTTTCTTCTAAGAGATACTGATACTTATTTTCAGAAAAATCCAATGACAGTCCTATGGGACCTATACTCCTATTTAAAGTGTGTCACTTTTTAGTTCTATTTATGGAATTTTCCCAAATTCTACCTCTGCTTTACTTTTTAGCATTCCGGACTATCAAATATAACAAAGTAGGATAGCAATTAATGAATCAAACAAGACATACACGAAATAAATGTACATATATAGCAGTAACTTACTGCCACCAGATTCCAAGACCAAAGCAAAAACATCTACAGTGGTCTTTGGAAATGAATCGAGGATAATGGCCCCTTCTAAAGCTTTATGCAGCATTGGGGACAACTCTTTATTTTCTGCTGACAACTACACTACAAAAAAAACATTTCAATATCCAATCCAGGGTTTGTGACAGACCTTTACAGACAAAAATTACAAGAAGATGTTAGTTAGACGAAGAAAAGAATGAATGGATAAGAGCAGCTAGTGTAACAAAAGAAAACCCTAGTCAACTTCAATCAATCATACCTGCCCACGAACCGGTGTGGCAAAAGTTGCATAAGAAACATTACAATTCAACCTCCCTGTATCACTGTACATCATTGCTTTCTTACTCTCCCTTGGCCCAAATCTGAGGGAAGGGGCCACCAAATTAATCACTCCACAGACAGACACCTAAATATGATGAATCCATTTAAAAGGTGGAAAACCCTATTGAGCCCACTGATTAGCCAAACTAATCATTACGGCAATCTAGCTTTTCGAGCATTCGATTTAGCTATTGTACTTTTACTTTCGTTCCAAAATAGACTCTGTACATTAGATTTGTAAGGGTCAATAGCATGCAGTGGCTTATCTAGAAATAACCTTGGAGGGCACACTATTTAAATATTGGAAAAATTAAAGAGGCAACCCCTAGGTTTGTGGAATTTTTCCAAATGACCCTCTACTATACACTTTTTTAAATATAAAACTAATTAGCTCTGATTTCATTTGTCAATTCATGTTAGCCGACCCCAGGCTCTTTTGGGACTAAGGGCTTGGATTTATTGTTGTTGTAACTCTAGAGTAGACTAAAATACCATGTTAAATTTCCTGTAGGCTAAGGTAACCCTGAAAAGCATACGGATGAAACCATTTGGTCATTCTGAGAAGTACTAATAGCCTTGCTCACTTCATGAAAGTTCCTTAAAACCTTTTTAGGTAATTAAAGTCACTAAATTACAGGGGTCTGGATATCTACAATTTAATTACAAAAATCAAAAGGGTATAATTATTACATGTAATATTGAATGTTTTTAACCAGAGCAGAATGAGTCCCCTTAAGACCCTAAATGGCACACACATCTAACTCATAAGATGTGTACTTTGCCTCAAAATGAATAGTGACCGTGACATACAATATGAAATTATCTCTCAAGTATAGGTGAGTAGGTAGTTCCATCATTTTCAATGGAGTCAAAGACTCACTATTTTTTGGCTTGGGAATATGATGGAATAAAGAAATATGACTCACTACACTCATTGTGCTTCTATGTTATGAAGCAGCAGTCGGTTCATGCAGTTTTAGACGCAATTTTCATCATGGATCATCCGAAAATAGTCTCTTTGTGCTTTAGGATGTTTTCTTTTGGACTGAAATTTGTTGGTCTGGTCTGATCTGGTAAACGTGTGTATTTTATAACTACAGAAGTCTGGTCTGATCTGGTCTGGGACTGAAAACAATCCAAAAGAAAACATCCTTAGTACAGAGGTAAGGTTGTGTACATCCAACACCCCTTACCCCACACCGTAGGTGGGAGCCTTTGCGACACTGGGTTAATGTTGTTGTTGTTTGTATAGGTGAGTAGGTGACACTTTTTTTAATAAGTATATAACCACATTTCATCTAACCTTGAAACACAAATATGCAATCGTATACCGTAACATGTGTTTGCTAATTGAAGTTAGGGATTTTAATCATCTAACTATTAGGCATCGCCTTCTCAATTCTCATAGTTCAAGTTATGTGCATGTTTGGTAAGCATAAGTCCCTACCTTCTAGCTTTTATACTATTTTAAAAGTGTAAAAGTTCTTAGTTGTATGTTTGGCACGACAAATTTAATTTTAAAATTTCAGATCTATTTTGAGAAGTCACACACTCACCAACTTCTAAGAGAAAGTTTGTAGGTTTTAACATTAATTAATCACAACATCTTGTTACACCAAACAGAACTAATTTAAACAGTCAATTTTTAGTAAACAAGCACAACCTTTTTCTTTTAAGGTCCTTTCAGTTACTAATAATTAACAGTCACAAAAATATCTTTTCAACTAGTTGTGCCAAACATATCCTATATATGAGGGGAAGTAATGTATAAAATTAATACTCTATATATTAGGGGAAAACAAGGTGATTTATTTTCATACATGCCATGTCAGTGAATGTAACTTCTCAGTCAAAATATTTTCTATACAACAATAACTCCAATACTTTCCTGTGCTTATTGTGCACCCCCAAAATCCCGCCCACAAATCCACGATGCAATTGCGATTTTGAAACAAAAATGAAAAAACGATGTCAGATTGAATGCCAGGAAAAAAGTTGGCTACTTCTCAAAAATGAAAAGTACAACAGCTAAATTGAACGCATTAAAAGGTAGATTGAATAAAATTACCAGTTTACCATATTGAAAAAACTGAGAGCAACACAATTGAGTGAGTTAATAGAGTAATTCACAAATCTAAAATTTCACTCTTTTAAATGTTACTTTTTCTGATATCTCCATGTTGGATGTCTTATGTCAACTTGATTTAAACTTGCTTTTGTTAGTACAAAAGCTCATGCTTTTATTCATGTATCTCCCATCCATGTTACAAGAGTGTTCTCTATCACAACAACGACTTAGTCTAGAGTACTCGTTTTCTACTTCCTTATAAACCAATGAAAAAGAAAATTGAAGCTCTAAATATTTTAACTTTGTCTTAATTTAGAGAGAATTCCTTAAATAGGATTAAAATAATGATAAAGTTTATAAATAGGACTATGTCACTATGATTATTTTATTTCCACGATATGACTCCATTTACTCCTATTTTGGGAAGCTTTAAGCAACTTATTCTTTTAATGGGACAAAATAAGTCATGTTTGGGGAATAAAACATATTTACTCCTATTTTTGAACTCTATCTGTATATGATCCTATATTGAGCAATTTCTATTTAATTTATAATTTTTATCTTCCTTCCAAGTTAGTAGTTATTACTACGTAATCCAAGAAAAAATAGGAAGCAAAAAGGTTGACAAGAAATAGCAACCAGATACACCAAATAACAAAATGGTGTTCAACTACTAAGTAGAGTAATATATAAAAAGGCCACATGATTTAAATACTCACACTGAAACAATGACCTTCGTATTCCCAAATTCTGCATAAGCAGATCCTGATGCTGCTTTCACTGCACCAGTGTTTAGCACTGCAAATCCGATAGATTATACTTGAAAGTTAGCTAGTAAAAAGAGAAAGAGTGCCTTTAACTTTGGAATGATCATTATTAAAACAAAAATAAGGATATAAGTGGGGTGGCAGCCTAGGATGCAATGATATGTGGTGACTGACGAGCTATGGTCTTTCATATTTAGAGCTTTGTTTCTTCAGGATAGCCTTAAGAGTTAAATCACATCTAACATGTTCAATGAAATGTTGTCAATTTAAGAAAATTGTTTTCAACAACTTAACAATTGCCTCAACATCCATAAAGTATATAGTCCAACGTAGTCTCAACACCCCTAGTCCACGCCAAATCTCCATTCACAACCCCGCTCTTCAAATGTTAGTGTCTGTAAGAATGTAACAATATACAGCACAATAGTTGCATTAAAATAAAACAAACTCATAGACAGCTTAACAGGAGCTACTTGTGGACATTCATAAAGAATGTGAGATTAAATCAATAACTCGTGCCAAATTATTAACCAAACAAAACATGCTCCAAGGGGGGTGTTGGCCACCTCCAGTTTGTTAGAAGCTTTGTGTGTGTACACATGCAAACTTGGTACTTGTTCTAACTAGCTGAACTATATGGCCTCATTCCCACACTCCACACTGTATTTTTAGTAGTTATTGGGTAATTATTCCCTTATCCCCTATGTCTCCATTTGTTCTTCCTCAATTGATTGCATGGTTAAAAAGGCACTTAAGAGGCGGGGTTTCAGGCCTTCAAAATAGATGTTGACATTTACACCCCAAACAGTTTAGGCCCTCTGGACGTCTCAAAAGAAGAGAATAACGAAAGGTTGAAAGGATAGGCCTTGGAAACCTTGCCTATCCCCCTAGAGTAACTGAGTAAGCAAGTATTCACAGGGGGGGGGGATGTTTGTAAATAAAAAGAAAACAAAATAAACTACAAAATCGGCCCATATAATGAAATGTTTCAAAGTCTTCCAAAATCGGCCCCATCATACTCTACTCGTCACACTCTAGTCCTGGCTCCGCCTCCACGGAATGCATGAAATCTATAGGTTACATTCGGGAAAACCAACGGAAACTGAATAACTTGTAATATAAAATGTAGTGAAAGATGAAAAACTCAAATATAATAGAGTACAACAGTGAATGGCGCTGGTTCAATCCTACTTGCACTAATGTATTTCAATGGAACTAGGGGCTCAACAATTAGTGCTGCAGTTAACTGGTGAAGTAGGGGGGCAATGAAACTTCACGAAACAAGCACACAGACGATTCATTGCAGAGATTCCGCATCCATGATTGATTGTTCCTAATTGTAAAACCTATAAAAAAAAATGTTGTTCGAGAGAGACAGGGAGAGTACATGCATCGCGGCACCTGTAGAAGTGGCGACCGTCAGAACGCACCCATTCGTCTCCGAAGGGGCTGGATTCTTTCGTCGGCTTTCTGTGGGACGGAAACGGAGAATAGGTTGCCGCGCCGGATTTTCCAGCCATATGAAAATCCGAGAGAGGGAGGGAGAAGGCTCTGGTTATTAGTTCTCCTTATTATCCGCCCCGGAGTATTTGGCACATGAGAATGAGATGGATACTTTTTTGCATTAGGGTATCCTCATGGTAGGTTTATTACTCCCTCCGTTCTTTATTATCTGTCCAACTGGCCTTGGGCACGGGTTTTAATAGAAAAATAGAGTGTGTAAGATAAATGATAAAGTAGGAAAGAAAGTATCTTAAAAAGAGTAAAGTGGTGATAAAGTGATGATAAAGTAGGAAAGAGAGCATATTAAGTAAAGTAAAGTTATGATAAAGTAGGAAAGAGAAAGTAGTTTGTAAAAAGTAAGAGGGGTAAAATTAAAAAAAATGGGGGTATTTTATCAAAAACTTTCCTAAAATAGAAAGAAAGACAAATAATAAAAAACGTCCCAAAATGGAATGCGAGACAGATAATAAAGAACGGAGGGAGTATAAGATTAGGTGGGTGACATGACAAGATTTTTAGAAAGTTATAATTGAGACATAGATTATTTAATGTGATTATTTGCTAGAATAATCCAGGATCAAAATATGAATCCAGGTTATTAACTTATTTTAAGATTATTTGAAAAGTATATGGAATAGAGATTAATGCAGGATAGGGGAAAAGCAGATTATTTGAAGATGATGATTGAGAGACGTAAATGAATTTTGAGATTATTTTAAAATTAATTGCATGACAATATTTAAATGGTAAGAATCGTAGAAAAAATTGATTATTAGAGATCATGAATGAAGACGCTCTTAGGATGAACTTTTGTTATATTTAGCAGAAGTATGGGCTTACTCTACCGGACTGTTGGTGTAGAAAGACTCAAATAAAGTTTGGCCACCAAAGGTTGGAAATGAAATTATAGAAATTATTCTAAATAGGACAAAAGTTTGTCTAAAAAGCATAAATAGAAATAAAACTTTAAATCATTCACAAATATGACTGAACATTGACTTTTTATCCTAAATACGCCTGCGAGTATTACTTCATAATGAAATGTTTTAATTCATAATAAAATTGTAAAAAAAGATATAACATAAATTATAAAATAAAAATTTTAAAAAAATATTGAATTTTTTTTTAAAAGTTAATAAAACATACCAAAAGCCCATAAAAGATCCACATATAAGCGTTTTTTGCGAAGCCCGGTAGATCGATACTCCTCTAAAAAGTCTGCCATTGGGCTATAGATTGGGCTGTCAAATGGTGAGCAACCCAATTTCCTTCTCGCCTAACTGAACCGAAGAAAAAGATTGGGGTACACACAATTTGTACACAAATTTTGTACACTTGTCTGTCTCTCACATTTGTGTACAAATTGTGTGTACTCCTGAACAGAATGTTACCTCTTTCCTGAATGATAAGAGTAACATTTCCTCCTTAATAAGAGTAGCATCCGTCCATCTTCCTCCCCCTTCGTCATTGATATAGCTTGCAGCCACTGTAGGGTCGGTTTCAACCTGGAAATCAGAACAGCCATTCTCCAAAGCAAACATCGTGGCTATAATAATGGCGAATAACTCTGCTTCAAGACTCGATAGCGGAAAGGACAGAGCAAAAACAAGCTCCTCTTCGGCGTTCCTCATAATCACACCACCGGCCACTTGATTAGGTAAGAATTTCGCATCTGTATTTAATTGAACTTCTTGCTTGGTTTCCTCCATTTTATTAGTTGAAACCTAAAATTAGATAGCCTGAAATTCAAAGGGATCGGATTCTCCTCTCTTAGTATATCACTGACAGAGTGTAGATTCAGTTTCGATAAACTCGAACTCCAAGCTTGAGTGTAAACTTCAATCTGGGAAATGATGTTATCAGAAGTAGGTATCGTCGTATCGAGCCACCAGTACCCTAAATTTGGTTAGCATAAAACTTCCAGAGGTGCAAATAGGCTCATGTACTAACCAAAAAAGGTCAAATAAGACCTTATTTAGGAGGTTCTGTCCGGCCGTCGTCATTTGGGGTGGTTCCGGTGGAATTTTTTTGATGAATTTTTTTTTATCATCTTATTCATCAAGTCTAGTTTACTCATACCAAATTTCAGCTAAAACTTCAATCGGGAAGACATTCAAACGAATTCTTGAAAATAACTGCGCAGTTAGAAGCGCAGTTATCTTCAAGAATTCATTTGAATGCCTTCCCGATTGAAGTTTTATTTGAAATTTGGTATGAGTAAATTAGACTTGACGAATAAGATGCTCAAAAAATTTCATCAAAAAATTCCACTGGGAATCACTCCAAATTTTGACGGCTGGACAGAGTCTCCTAAATAAGGGCTTATTTGACATTTTTTGTTAGTACATGGACCTATTTGCACCTTTTCCCATCTTATAATACCGGATAGGTTGTGTTTAAAAATATCAATTAACTTTCTACTACCTGCTCTAGGCCACCAAGCCATAAAGATTTGGCAAATATTATGGATAGTTGATGAGTATGACATTTCCAAAATATCCATAACATACCTCCAAATAGGCCTCACTCTCAAAATAATTCACATTTATGTAATTCTAGAATAGAATAATCACACTTTATCACGTACAGGGGCGGATGTATCAAGCAATTGATGGGGGCACATGCCCCCAATGAAGTCCAAACTTTTAGTGTTTTACATATGCATATTATTAATAAAAAATGTAGTGCCCCCTACCAAAAAAATGCATGCCCCCATTAATTTGTATTAACTCAATTCTAAAAAATGAGTGGAAAAAACGGGTGGACAAGCGAGCAATGCAATCAGTTCACTTCAATGACATTACCGAACTCAATTAATTAATTGAGTTAAATTTGTATTAACTCAATTCAGGCACACACCCTTTATCCCTTTTAAATTACAGAGTACTACGTGAATTAGCTATGTTAACGATATAATCTCATCCCTTTACGTTTTTCTAAATTCGTAATTTGCTACTACGTATTATTTTATCTTGCTATTAGAGTCTTCCTGCAGTTGTATATTTTGCTAATTTTTAGTTCATTATTTTACTATTTGTATTTAATTTCATCTTTGAGAATGAATTGTTTAATTCAAAGTTTAAGTTTAAAATGTTGTTCACTATAGCATGTATAGTTCACGAGTATAATTTATACTCCGTATATTTGAACAGATTAAACAATGATATTAAGGTACTACATTATAAAACAGGGGCGTAACTAGGGGAAACCTAGACCCCGACCTACCCTAAATATAAACAATGCTTATATTCTTAGTGTAAAAAAAGTCCAATCTAACATTTTTTCCTAAATTATTCTTTGTACCGGTCCAGTCCGGCCAAGTACTTTGGCTCCGCCGCTGCTATAAAAAAATAACCACTACCACTCAATCAATGCCACAATGTTCTCCTATTGTATATAGTTACAATTGAAGTTGTGATGGACGATTTTTTTTTTTTAAAAAATGGTAACTCTTAGAGATCAGTTGTAATGCATAGTAATATTTAATACTCCATAATTTTCCGTTCGTATTGGAATATTTAATTTTTTAAGTAGATTTATACTACATCCATCCAGAAAAGAAGTTCTTACTTTCTTTTACAAATGTCCTAAAAAGAAGTTATCAATTCTATAAAAAGAAACCGCTTTTTGTTAGGCAAAAAGACTCAACTATCCTTACATTTCTACCTAATTTTTGTTTGATTTAACATAAAGCAAGGATAAATTTAAAAAATCAACAAAACTTTGTCACAAATAAATATGTGTGTAAGTAAAACCGAAACTTCATTTTGGAATAAAAGGAGTACTTATTATTTGAATATTTATCAGTTTTTTTCTTAATGGATGCCCCCAATAGCAAAAGTTTCTGGATCCGCCCCTGATCACGTATTCACGTGTCTTCTTTGGTTAGTGACTTATGACATATTCTTCTAGATATCTTCTTATTTTTCTTCTTTTCAGCTAATTTCTTTCTCATATATCCATTTTCGTGTAAAGTGGAAATAAAAAGTAAATATAAAAAAAATAGAGTGGGAGAAAGATACTACTATTTTATAAAAAGAGAATGGTTAAAAAGATACACCTCCGATTTTATTTAATCTTCACACTTTGACTTCACACAAAATAAGGAAAGAAATTTGACTTTACTGTAGATTACACTGTTGAGGCACTGTTTGACACTGTTTGGCACTGTTGAGACACTGTTTGACACTGTTTTGATGTAGATTTCTTTGCCAAAAAAGGAAATAAGGAAGTGTGAAGTTTATTTTAGACCGTCCCAAAAAGGAAAGTATGAAGTTTATTAAAAACCGGAGGGAGTACATAATTAAGGAAATTAAATGATGATGAAGGAAGAGGAGAAGGAGAAGGGGAAGAGGAAGACGAAGAGAAAGAGGAAGTCCAAGGAAAAATGAATGAGACTGTTTTGAGAAGATTTGTGGAAGGTGGAATTATGAATCAATTAGGGCCAATAAAAAAGGTTGGTGAAAAGGTGGGATTATTTTGAGATTTTGTAAATGTGAATTTATTTTGAGAAGACAAATGAAATGTTGGATTATTGTTGTCAATTTTTTCAACTAATAATCCACAAAAATCAATTTTTTTAAGAATTTTTTTTTTACAACTCAAAGGAAACTACAATAACTAATACTCCCTCCGGTTTTATTTAATCTTCACACTTTGACTTCACACAAAATAAGGAAAGAAATTTGACTTTACTATAGAATACACTGTTGAGACACTGTTTAACACTGTTTGGCACTGTTGTGATGTAGATTTCTTTGCCAAAAAAGGAAATAACGAAGTGTGAAGTTTATTTTAGACCGTCCCAAAAAGGAAAGTGAAGTTTATTAAAAACCAGAGGGAGTAAAAGATTCGTTAATGAGGGGTACATGCTAAGAGATTTAAATTAAACTATTGAAAAGAAAATATTCAGTTTCTCATGTGCGATCAAAAACTTTTAATATCAAAAAAAGTATATTTGGAGCTTTAAATATTGGGAAGACGATCCTATCAAAATTAATTATTCAAAGATGTATCATGTAAAGTAGTTGGGATGGTTAAACTACATTTCCAAATAAATTTTTATTTGTTCTCAGTCCATGAAAAATAACACATTTTGTTTTAATCATCGCAAAATGAAATTTTCATCATTGTAAT